AAAAAAATTTTAAAAATGTGTTTTTAAGGTTTTTAATTTTGTAAAAAAAAAATTCTTGAAACTCCGCAACATTTTTTTCTTCTTTGTTTTTAAATGTAAACAAAAAGAACATGTTCACAATTTAAATAGAAGATGGGTGCGAAGCGCCCTAAAAGTCTAGAAAGAAGAATTCATGAATATCTGCTATATATTGGATTATATTTACCGATAAATAATTTTCAACATTTTTGATTCTATGCGACATTTTATCAACTATTTTAGTAAATACTAAAGTTTACAGAGCATTTGACTCATTTTGTATATAATAAAGCTCTTTTCTCATTTATATGTTTGCTGTAGTTGGCCAAACAGCTGAAACTAATTGGCGGATATTTTTTTTGTGGATTCCCGAGAATGACAAATGCTGGAAAATTTAGAATTTTCTAATGCCACGGGCAACCTAGGGCACTGCTACAATCATGATTTAAGACCAAGCGCGGGTAAACGACGGGAGTAATTGTAAGTGAACTCGGCAACCCTGTGTAATTCTGCTAGTTATAAATAAGAATAAGGGTTTTTTTTGTCTGCATGTTAGTATCTTTGTTTGTCCCATCATAATCATGAACCCCGTGACCGATTTGCCTTAAATATTTGTAGAACCGCGGGAATGTTCTTTGCTTGGTTTAAAAGTTTTAGCTAAGTTTTTTATACCTAAAACTTAGTTTCCTGACAATACAATGATGGATTCACAAGCTAGTTGTCAATAGAATACTTATTTTATACAGAAAATGAGTTTTACATGGGTCTTTAATATAAGATACATCATACATGATACAAAATCTTAATCTCCTAATATCTTTTCAGGGGCGTATTCAGGGAGGGGGGCTATGGGGACTAAGCCCCCACCTGGACTATCTAATCTATTGGTTTCAGGGGGTTTTCAGGCCCCAACGGGTGCTGAGCCCCCCCCCCTGGAAAGATAAAAAATTAAGCCCCCCCTGGACAAATTCCTGAATACGCCCCTGAATTCTTTATCGTTTCAAGAGTCCGCGTTAAAGAAAATTGATTAATTAAATTCTAACTTTCTAATCTTATATCTTTCAAACCTGTTGTAACCCTTTTACACCGCAAACTTTAACTATTTATTTAACTCTATAGTTTAAAATATCTAGGTAAAGTTTAGACCCATCATTAGACTAAAAGAATTGGAGTTTGAAGCGAGTGATCAGGTTTTTTGTAAAATCAGAATTATACTACACAAGCTTGGAAACCCAGCGTTGCCCATGTTACTCAAAGTCACTACCGTGGTTGATTTTACCGGGAAACTAAATTTTCGAAATTAAAGTCGATTCTCTGCGTTACCCCAAACTAAATTTTAGGCAAATCAGTCCCGAGGTTCCTGAGTTATGATCGGACAAACAAACAGACAGACAAACAGAGATTACAACTTTATACAGTGATGTTCTAAATAAACCGGAATAATATGATTTGATTGATAACTTCAAAGTCGTCTTTCACCTTAAAAATGCTTGCGGCATTCAACATATAAGTAACTTGATTTTAGCAATATTTTTTATGAAACAATCATCACATAATCCTGCGACTTCCAAAATGTGAACTGCTATTTTTTGGCTTTAAAAAATACCAGCGATCTTAAGAATTTGATTTAAATTTCAATTTATTGAATAAAACTATGAAAATGTCTCCTTCTGAACAAAATCATTCATAACTCCGGTAATCATAAAAGCACGAAAATGGCAGACCACATTTTGGAAATGGCCGGACCAGGGCTATAATGTGGTTTTTGTTTCATAAAAATATATTGCTAAAACAGGTTACCTATGTTGACTGCCGCAAACAGTTTTAAGGGTCAAAGACGACTTTGAAGTTATAAATCAATTTATATTATTCCGACCTATTTAGAACATCACTGTCATGTATATATAGATAATATAATTACCCATTGTATCAAAGAGCCGAACTACTTTTTTATAAGATCCCTCCGCTTGGAAGAAATTGTAGTGAAGAAAGCGGAGAAGAAAATAGTCCACTGTTTTCTCGTAAGAACATCTGTAGAGAAAAAAAGTAAGATTTTGTTGAATATTAACGAAAAGAGTTTCAAAATACCTGATAAACTGTTACAAATATATAACATAATTATAAAAATGGAATATGAAATATTATTTAAAATTCTCGTTAAAATATATAAACTAATTACAATCTGCGGAATAGGAATTTCCCTAGAAGGACTTGTTCATTCGGTGTACCCTCCCAAATTTGTTTTGAATTTGATTATTTCTCTTGTTGCTTGCGCAACTATCTAAGAATGCCGCGAACCACTCACATTTTTCGAAATCCGTTAAAACGTTTTCCAAAAAAAATAAAATATTATAAAATATAAACTATATACAAATGTGGCGAAAGATAATCGATGACTATAGGTTGTAATATCTGAATGATTTGTTTGAAATTAAATTGATTTTTTACGGTCTAAGTCGTATGTTGCAATTTTCTGAATTTGTGTGGGCGCTAAGTTATTCGGTATGAGACGTCTTTAACAATTTTCTCCTTATAGACGCAACAGATAGAAGTAAATTTAGTGGCGATCAAAAGCTCTTTTTTATCGCATGAAGCCTATACCCCCTTTCATTTTTCGCGAACACTCCCTTTAAGTGGCCCTCTATGCAAAAATGGCAATGCCCGATTCACAATAGTACCTTAAAAGCTTTGTCTGATCAAAGATGAATTAGATTTGACTGATTTTGATTTTTTAACAGATTATTTTGAATTGTGGTTTCTCTACAACAGGTCCTTTAAAAACTTTCCTTTTAGCAGCTACTGCAATGATTTGAAAGATTGTGAAGATGAAGAGAAGAATGAGGTAGATGTACACAAAGGACAAGGTGTCACGATAATTCTAACAAAACATTAAAAAAAATCCATTTAGATACAAATTTAATTTAAATACAAACACAGTGCGAACCAGAAAACTATGAAATAAGATGACGACGTTACAGCAATATATAAGCGTAAATTTAATGTTGCTTTAAAATCACGTCACTGATTGTGAAATGTTTTGTATATAGGTACCTGTTTCAAATTCATTTCTATATATCATTGCAACCTGAGCCGGATTTAGTACAAGCTAGACATGTTAATCCACGTTGATTCAGTAGAACCATTTTTCTTGTGCGATGATTCAAGATAAAGAACATAGATTCATAACAATACAGATAGAACACTAAATGTCGTCTTTTTAAGATTTACGGGGTTTTCGTTCACAATAACCATGAGGCAGAAGCCCAAAGAAGTTACGTGCATGCTCTCGCTCTCTCTCTCAGTCTTGTAATTCAACGAGGTATGCGCGTAACTTATTTGGGCTTCTGCCCCAGGGATATTGTGAACGATAATCTTGAAAAGTCTAGTGTTCTATCTGTATTGTTATTAATCTATAATAAAGATGCATTTATAAAATCTGGACCCGCAAACTTAGGAGATTTTCACTAACAGACATCAAAGTCGGAAATATCAACGGTTTACATTAAAATGGGTTCATGTCGCTGGGAGAGATTAGAAAATTAATATTTGAGACCAGTGGTTAACTCCCTTTTTCTAAGAAATGCCATATTTTCGAAGCGGACTTCTATTTAATTAACAGTAATCTTTCTTTCGAACCGGACTTCTATTTAATTAACAGCAATCTTTTTAACAACAAAAAGCAATCTTGAGTGAATGCATTTACTTATTTTGTTTTCAAAGTACTTGTTACGAATTGATTGTCAATGACGTATTAACAAGAAGGATTCATATAATCGTTAAAGCTTTATTCAATTGCCAATTTGAAAACATGATAAGAGTCCCCTAGAGGAATTACGTTTTAATTTTATTGAGAATAAAAACTTTTTCTTCTTTCTTGACTTTTCGACTGTTTTTTAACGTTTATTATTTGTTTTAATATCAGCAGAATATGGACTGAGGAAGTTTTTTCTGAAAGAAACTTAACATTTACTGCATAATTTTGTCTAATCCTTATATCTTCGAAAACCTTTGATATTTCAAACTTTAAATTCTGCAAAGCTTTGAATATCAAAAGTTGCGACAAATGTTGAGTTTCTATATATAGATCCGTATTCTCCTCCATATTCTCCTAATAATAAAACAAATAAAAAAGTTAAAAAACATGAAAGTCAAGAAAAAAAGGAAAAAATTGTTTAAATAAAATTAAAACGTAATTCCCGAAAAGGCTCTTATCATGCTTTCAAATTAAATTAAACATACTTTTTTCGTCTTTTCTCTTTTTCTCTTTTATTCATTTAGACGAAAAAGTATAGAAAACAACTTCCTAAGTTTAAAGATTGTTGAATTATAGACGAATATTTGATTGAATTCAAATAGAAGAAACCTGAGCTGAAAACTTTAGAAAGGTGGATATCGAGATCAATGCTTGATCTCCTGGTTTAACTAAACTCGAGATTAGGTTGATAATGATACGCATTCGATATCCAAAAAAGAAGTTAAAAATTCAACCAATCAGCGTATCATGTTATAAGATGAACTCTTTAACTTAAAAGCCTGCTTGTGAAAAGCTGTCTTAAGTTGAATCGGATATTAGTCCAATCGATATAGCATGTCGTACCTGTAATTGTTATCAAAAGTAACTTTTTTACAAAAAGAGAGGAATAAGAAGAAAATCAAAAGTGTTTCCATTGGATACTAAGATTAAGTAATCAGATTATGGATATCTCATTCTAAAGTTTTCATCCCTGGTTGGTTTTCTCTTTTAATTATTTAAACTATAAAAGAGTTCATGAAAAGGTTTGTTTTTAATGTATTCCTTTGAAAGATCCAACAACTGCCGAATTCCCGAACTAAAAACATTTTAGATTATTATTTCATATTTAAAAGTTAACTTTTCTTAAATGTTTTCTTAAAGAGACTTCGTTGGAATTTTAGGTGAACTTCCATTTAAAGAGAGGCATATAGCAACCCTACCTCTCAATCTTTTATAGAATCAATAAATATTGAAGATAATTTATTATGAATAATGAATCTGACATCAACTCTACCAATGGAGAGTCACTTGAAATTAAGTTTACAGTCCCTTTAAAAGCAAAACAATAATGTTTTGCAACAAAAATTCTTACAAACGTAAATATAATTTTCTCTACAAGAGAAGATGCACCAAAAAGAAAGAATTTCAATATTTCCTAATTTTCAAGAAACTGGTATGATAAGAGCTAAGGAACTGATTAGTCACACGTCAAACTCTAGTTTTCAAATCCCATTTATATTTACATCATTGGTGTCGGCCGTCGGGCATTTAATTTGGCTCGTTTATTGATTTTTAAAAGATTTTTGGACTTGAAAAGGTTCAACAAAATTTTGAGACGCTTTACAAAAATTAAAAACAGTTTACTCTCAGCATTTGATTTTCTTATACTATGTAATATTTTAACCCTGAGAGAAGATATTTGCATGAAGAAAAAAAACATAATCAATATAACTCTCGTTCGTTTTGTTCGTTTTTTACAAAAAATTTCATATGGGGTAAAAAAGACAAATATCTTTTTTTAAAAGTTAAGAAAGGAATTGAGTCTTTGCCACAAACACTGACTTTTTAATCCCTATATCTCTGCAACCAGATGCTATAGAAATTTAATATTTCAATTTATGAATTCTGTTAGATTTTAAGTTTGAAATATCAAAGGTTTACACCGTCAGGCTGCAAAGATAAAGGGATAAGAACATTTTAGTCTGTGGCAAAAACTCAATTCCTTTATTAAACTTCTTAAAATTTTGTGGAATCTTTTAAAATTCCAAAACCCTGAGGCTGAAAGGTTTATATAAACGAACCAAATCAAATCAAACAAAACCTTGGTAGCCTTGATTGTTATTTCAAACTATTCAAATTTTATAAATATAAAAGGTTTACCAGCTCATCAGGTTGAAATAATGTGGTATTTAGAAAATAAGAGTTTGATGCAAGTGCTTAGTTGCTTTGCTAATCAATATTGTTCAAGCCTTCAGTGGACAGAATTCAATGAATTAAAGAGATCGCCATGAGCCAGCCAATTACAAGAAAGAATAATTTAAATAGACCAATCAAGCGAAATTTTCGCGAAATAAGAAATGCGAAAGTTTCGCGAGAAACAGCGAAAATCTCGCTTGATTGGTCTATTTAAAAGATTCATTCTTTCATGTAATTAGTTGGTTCTTGGATTGCTGGATCTAGTTGAATGTACGTGGACAGAAAGATAGATGACATACATAGATCAAATTCTTTTCATCGAACATTTATTAAAGTAAAGAAAGAGAACTTATTAATTATGACAAAATAAAACTTCTAAAAAATGCGAAAATTTGATCTGGAAAAGGGTCTGGTTGTAAACCTGAGAAGGAAGGGTATAAGTATCCTTGAAAGAACAGGAGTAGTTTGAGGGGTTTGACAACTCTGACAAACTACCATCAGAACTAAATAAACACTATAACCCTACTGGTTGAAGGAAGGCGAGGTATAACGTATTTGAGCCAACAACTTTTCTTTTCGAGAACCCTCGAGAAAAAGAAATGTTTTTGGAGAAAATACTTTACGAGCCCCCTTCAACCAGTAAGGTTTCAGATAATTTTATGCCCTGGAAAGAAAGAAGTATGAATTCAAATGTTCACTATCAAAATAAATAAATACACAAAGATGGCACGTCAATTATATAACATATAATATAAAGTTTAAACTTTTAAAAAGTATATATTAAAGAAAATCCCGAATATTAATGCTGAAAGATGATCATTCAAAAGAATGCGGGAACTTCATAGCAAAAAATGAACAAAAAATAATGAAAGGTTTACTCAGCTGGGGTGATATTTTACTTTTAAACCTATAAGAAAAAAGTGAAATTTTATTCCAGCTCAGCTGGGAATATATGAGTTTTAGGATATTTTCACCGTAGATTAAAAAGAGGCTACCCAGGGCATAAACAAAGATTTAAGGGACTGTCATAGAAATTTTAGGTTACCCTCCATTAAAGAGAATACATACCAGCTTCATAACAGTACACTATAAACCTTAATCTGATCAATAATGTGACAATAACTCGTTTTTCTGATAAACTTTCTCTTGTGTATAAAGTAGAAAATGCGCAAGACACTATTGTAGAGAAACCCAAAAAATAACAAGTTTTGAAAAATTATTTTTAAAAAACATGGATTTATAATTCCTACTTGATCAGACAAAGCGTTTAAGGTACCGTTGTGAATCAGATACATCACTCTACTAACGAAGGCTCTTTTGAAATTACAGTTAAAGTCCTTTTAAGAACCTCGTTAAATTATCAAAGATCAATGATTTAAATCTCAAATGTAAAGCAGAACGTTAAAAACAAAAATGATGCTTTTATGGACGTGTCCTATACTTCCACACCATAGACTCAAATATATTATAACTAATAATAATTTAAGAAACAGTTAAACCTAGATAACAAAATATGGATATGGATTATACCTAGATAACAAGATGTGGATATGGATTATACCTAGATAACAAGATATGGATATGGATTGTATACTAGATATCAAGATATGGATATGGATTGTATACCTAGATATCAAGATATGGATATGGATTGTATACCTAAATAACAAGATATGGATATGGATTGTATACCTAGATAACAAGATATGAATATGGATTGAATACCTAGATAACAGGTTATGGATATGGATTGTATACCTAGATAACAAGATATGAATATGGATTGAATACCTAGATAACAGGTTATGGATATTATACCTAGATAACAAGATATGGATATGGATTGTATACCTAGATAACAAGATATGGATATGGATTGTATACCTAGATAACAAGATATGGATATGGCTGCTGAAGCTGAAATCACAACAGTCCAGAACTCAAATGAATGGAAATCCAAATCCATTAAAATTAAAGCCTAAAAAAAACATAAAATTATCTAAAGATGTTATTCACATTTACAGACCCATTTAGAAAAGGGAAAAAGATAACGTAAAAAAAACCGCGAACGCACTTAAAACAAGCACAAAAAGGTGCCAAATAATAACAAATTTAAGAAATCAATATATAACAGTGAAAATGAAATGTTGTTTTTTTTATGGACAAATTATTTAGGATTCATTTTTAGACAAATAAAACTTTTTAAAGGCCTGTAAATCCTGATTTTGATACGTTTTCAGAATTTTTTCAAATTATTAAATAACGACGACAAAAAATGTAAACAAAATTCTACAGTAAACTATTTAGTCGTTTAGGAACAGGTTAAGAAAATAAAAAATAACACTTATCATCGAAAATAAGTAATCTTATTAAATTGTTAGTGTCTATAATCTCTCTTTAATTACAAAGATATTCTGCAGAATTTCTGGAATTTTTATTAAAAAGACGACATTTGAAGAATTTGAAGAAATCTGCGAACAAATTCATAGAAAATATATAATGATGAAAAAGAAAATAATCAATTCTAACTTCGATTTATTGACAAATTTCTTTTGAGAAATATGTTCCTAAACAGCTAATTAATTTACTATAGAATTTTACTATATTTTTCGTCGTCGTTATTCAATAATTTTAAAAAACCCAATTCTGAAATTCATGAAGATGAACGTCGACTTTGCGCTCAAACTCAGTAATTATACATCGTGAAAACGTTTTATATCTTTCAAATGAATCCTAAAGAATTTGTCCATAACACTGCATACTTAGTTTAACTACCTTACATAGCCGGTCTGTCCCTTTAAGATATATTTGTTATAATCAGAATAGTGTTAAATACATAGATTTATATAATTAGAGGTCAGAACTTTTAAAATTGAAGTACAGGGTTACCCACAAAGGATGAGACTGTAAAGACGACCTGAAACTCATAAAATATGACGATTACAAGGTTAAATTAAGTCTTCTGCCTTGATTTTTAAGGCCTATTTATTGACATGGCAACGAAAGAACCCAGTTTAAAGTTGCAGAGAATACTAAATATAAGGAAGTAGACAGTACACATTCTGTACAATCGTCTCTGCAGTCTCAACCTTTGTGGGTAACCCTGTATTAAGCATTTATCCTCCAATTTAAAATTGCTCACCTTGCATATCAAGATCAAGCGTTCAAGATTAACGAAATTCCACTTGAAATTTCCGCCTTGAGTTACCTGAAGGTTAAAAGCAACAGAACAGATATAGCAGACAAAGTATATTCCCTAAAATAATTTATTTCAAAATAAGTTTTAAACAGTTCTAAGGAATTGAGTTTTTGCCGGAAACTCAAATTTTCTAATCTCTATTTCTATGCACCCTGATTGTGTAAACATTTGAAATTTTACACTTTATAATTGATCTAATAGAATTTATAATTTGAAATATTTAAGGTCTTCGACAAAGGGTTACAAAGATATAGGGATTAGAAAATCATAGTTTGAGGCAATGTATTTTTTCTTTATTCCGCCAAGTTACTTTTCTTCAAAAGATTGTATAAATGTTAGTTGATTCTTTTGTACAGGGTGTCCCAATATACATTGGAATACGTGACGAATTTTATATCGTCTTTGCTACACGCGGCATAATTTCGTGCATTCAATTTTCAAATTACAAAGGACGCGCTGAGACTACGAGCATTTTAAAAAGCGCGTAGGACTTGTTAAGTTTTCATTAACGTAGTTACAAGTGACCACCCGAACAGCTGGGTTATATGTTAATCTTATCAATTACTAGCTGAAGTGCCCAGCGTTGTCCGTGGAATTTTAGAAACACTTGAAAAGAAATTTGAAATATTTTAAGCTTATGTTACCCCGGGAAGCCCAAGGGTTCCTTAAAAAAATGTTACTCAATTTGGTCCAGCCGATTGGCCAGCTATAGCTAACATATATGTAATTATATATAAGCGAAAAGCTTTATCATGTAGATGAAAAAGAAAAACAAATCATGCAGCTTATTTGAAGGTTTTAAGGGTAATACTGACAATCGCGGGCATGCATTAGAAATAGTAATATAATTTACCTTATTTATGGTTTCTATTATTTTACCCGTACAGGTCAATCTCTTATACTTGGCTTCATAGTAATCTTCCTCCTTTCTCTTCTAATCCAAACCAAACCATTGGCCGCCATCTTGAATTTTATTTAAGAACTTTGACGGATATTCTAAAAGATGATTAACAAATTTATTTGGTTTGGTTTGATCCCTTGAGAAAATGTTCTGGAACTGTAGAATGAACCAGAGTACTAAAAAATGTTCATGCATTCGTATTCCAAACATGTATTCAAAAAATTACGTTAAAACATATATTTTAATCTTGGTTGTAACCTGATATGCTCAAATTTTAGCAAGGCAACTTCTCTCTTAGCTTTCCAAGTGTCACCCTTAAAATTTAACTTTTTTTATTATATCCCGCCATTTTTTAACCCCAATCCTCCTGTTTAACCCTATCCCCCCTGTTTAGCCCTATCCCCCAGTTGACCCCTATCCCCCCTTTTTAACCCTATCCACCTTGTCATCGATATGCTCCTCTGTTATATAATTATCTAGCCAAGGAACGTCCCGAAATCTAAATTAAGAAATCCTTTACAAAAAAAAGCTGATTGAGGAGAGTTTTAAATATATAAATACAAGGATAAGATGATCATAACTGTTAGGGAAGAAAAAGGATATATAAATATATAAATGAAAGGATGAATGCAAGCATTTATAAATACCTACCTAGATGGAATGAAAATAAATATATATCCTATACGAAATGAAAGGATGAATGAATGAATACCTACCTAGATGGAATGAAAATAAATATATATCCTATACTAGGTGAAAGGATGAATTAATGAATACCTACCTAGGTGGTATAAAATGAAGTATATATTCTATACTAAATGAATGTATGAATGAAGAATGAATACCTACCTAGGTGGTATAAAATGAAGTATATATCCTATACTGAATGAAAGTAAAGAGGAAAGAATGAGGGCTATATACCAAATAACCGCATGTAAACCAAGGTTTCCAATCTAGCAAAAAAATAGATTAAAGGGAATGTTTACTTTTCTGAAATTATTATAATGCTCTACTTTTTAACAGGATACCAACAAACCCTTTCCTTACCACTCAAAGGTGTTCTTGAGGAAATTGAACAGAGAAAGCAAATCTTTAAAAGTTTAATATGTGTATTTAATATGATTGGCATGAATAAACCATTTTTATCTTGCATTTTTTAAATTTATTTGTTTATTTTATTCATCTTTAAAACTTACTTTTACACAATTTACTGACATTTGATAAATAAAAGTCTAAACACAAAATGTCAATTTTGAAGATAAAAGTCTATTGATTTTGCCTTAAAACAAATATGGTCCCAGTAAAAATGGAAAATAAGTGACGACTGACGACTTCCAAATTGTTCAACGCAGAATTATTTTGTAAAAACAATTTTAGTACAGGGTGACCCACAAAGGAGGAGACTGTACAGAATTTATTGTTTCCATAAATTCTTGATTCACTGCAACCTTAGCATCATCTTATTTAGGTCATCTTTGCAGTTTAATCTTTTGTTGGTAACCCTTTACAATCCCAGATAAACATCTAATACCAAAAGCTAATAGTATAAAAAATTTCAAAAATGTGCTCTGCTATTTTTCTATTTTAAAAATTGACGGAGATATCAAGAAATGTTTCGAGATTTCAATCTATTAAAAAAACATAAGTGTTCAAATGTCTAATATCTTCATTCATTTAAAACGAAAATTTGCAGTGAAACAGTGAAAAAAGGGGGGGCACAGGTCAAACAGAGGAAAAGTTCTCATACACAACAAAAATTGATAAAACTGGGAAAGGGGGGGGGGAGTTCTGGTCACCTGCACCTAATTCTTTCAAGTGAGGACGTAATATTTAATAGCTGGTCTGGGGGTAATATTTAATAGCTGGTCTGGGGGTAATATTTAATACCATGGTCTGGGGGTATCCCTGTATTTAATACCTGGTCTGGGGGTAATATTTAATACCTGGTTAGGGAGAAATATATAATACCTGGTCAGGGGGTAATATTTAATACCTGGTCAGGGGGTATCCCAGTATTTAATACCTGGTCAGGGGGTATCCCTGTATTTAATACCTGGTCAGGGGGTATCCCTGTATTTAATACCTGGTCAGGGGGTATCCCTGTATTTAATAGCTGGTCTGGGGGTAATATTTAATACCTGGTCAGGGAGAAATATATAATACCTGGTCAGGGGGTAATATTTAATACCTGGTCAGGGAGAAATATATAATACCTGGTCAGGGGGTAATATTTAATACCTGGTCAGGGGGTAATATTTAATACCTGGTCTGGGGTTTTTTACATTTAGTCTATATTAAATCTACATGTCCCTTGCGCAAAAGATTTAGCCATTTCGTGGAAACCCTAGGTGTGTGATATCAATCAGAATGTTAGTGAAATCTCATAAAGGAATTGAGTTCTTGCCACAAACTCTGATTTTCTATTCCCTATATCTTTGCAACCCAACCAATGCCGTAGATCTGAAGATAATTCAAACTTTTAATTATATTAGATTAAATAATTAAACTTAAAATAGTTTACAAATATTAGGTTGAGAAGAGTTTTTGTAGAAAAATTAAGTTCATCTCTATATCTCTAACATTATGATGAATGCTTAGAAAAAGAAGAAAAAAATTAATTCTACCTTATCGAAAATATTAAAATATATAAAACAAAAATTAATTTGACAAAACAATACTTAATTGATATCTTCAACACAGGATTTGAATTTTTATTGTATCTATATTATTTTTCAATTAATCTTCAATCAATCAATAAATACATATAGTTATAGTTATAGTATTTATTTTCAAACACAAAATACAAAATAATATTGTATGATGGTTCAGCTTAAAATAAAACACGAAAGAAAATTCATTATGAGCCAATTAAAAATATAATGTTTGATAATTTTGTTTTGATTGTATTTGTTGAAACAAAGTATACATATTGAAAACTCAACTAAGAATACATTCATTGTGCATTTACAAGTAGATAATTAGTCAGCACTCAAATAATCAGAACATTTTCAGGAATGCATTCATTGAACTTATGAATACATATTGATTCAACAAAAGTAGCAATGTATTCTCGTTGACTGTAGTAGACTTTGACATCCACCAACTGTGGACCCATTCTTGTTGACTGTAGTAGACTTTGACATCTACCATTAGCAAAGGGTGTAAACCCGTTCTTGTCATGTATTCATATATTTTCATGATGAAAATCCAACAAATTTTTTAGCATTATGAATTATTAACTTAAAAAAAGATAAAAGTAGAATTAAATCTTTTATGAAACTATTGTGTACTTTATCATTCTTATTCACTTCATCGTGAATTTCATAATGAACGTGCTTAAAAATAATCATCGTGGTATAAAGTTTAATTGGCTGTATATTATAGCACCGTGTCATAAAGTAATCATCGTGCTAAAAAAGCTAAATTAGCTGTAAATAAATAAATAAATAAAAGATCAACCATCATTCCGTGGAAATCAAGGCCGAGACCCCATCAAAAATAACCACCAAAGGGTGGAAATTAATGTATATCCGATTATGTATATTATAATACCGTGCTATAAAGTAATCATCGTGCTATAATGTTAATTTAGCTGTACATTATAGCACGTGTGCTAAAAAGTTTTGATTTGTTCCCGGATTTTCTCCAAAAATTGTAGGATGTTTCCAAAATATTTTCTTTAATTGAAAAAAAAAATAAAATTGAAATTAATTTTATATCCTGGCTTCTCTTTTGTTATTTTATCGTTTATACGGAAACGTTTCATAAAATTACCTATAATACTATTATTTGAACCTTCTTGATAAAGAGAAAATTTCTGTCCAAAAACTTTATGACATTGCTAACCAAAATAATAGTTTTAAATAGTTAATTTAGAATTCATGACAAGAAAATATTTAGATTTTCTCATTTATCCTTTACATTCATAATAAATATGTTAAACGTTATTTAATTCTTATATTTTGTAAATGCTACCTTAACCCTATAAAGACTGGGTGGTCTAAATCTATGTATAGAAAAACCTTAGAGAATAGGTATAGGGTTAAAACGCATGTTAATAGCCCAATTTTTCAAGGCCAGCTCACTGAAAAAAAAATTTTATCGATAACTTTTATAGTTCGAGTGCTAGGGAAGGTTAAAAAAACAAATATCAAAGTGTAACATTTGATTCTACATCCATTTTTTTTACACAGACCGGACTTTTTACCGCCCTGTACTATATTCTATGCATAAAGAAAATATTTTACAAAACATCCTTTAAATTTCTATTTATTAAAAGTAAAAAAAATTCACGGTGATAGTGTCAAAGAGTGCTTGTGCAAAACAACTACAAACATTTTGATCGAAATCAGGAATACAATGTTAGGAATAGCTCACAATATTTATATATTTTTGAACATTCGAAATAAAAGTTAATAATTTTGAATTAATCTGTGCCCAAAATATTTGGATTTCTTTTTAAAAAAATGTTAACCTTAAAATGATGTGCGTGGTATGAAGGGAAAGCGCGCTTGCAATGCTGAGCGCGGCAAGAAGGCGCATTTTCCAGCGTGCTTTGCAGAAGAGAAACAGAACAGACGTTGCATCAGTGTGTCTAGAGAGAAAGGAACTGATTACTCGCTACAAACTATAATTTTCTAATCTAATTATATCTTATCAACCTGAGGACGTAGACAGTTGTTATTTCAGACAATGAACTCGGCTAGAATCGAATAGCCAAACTTTGAAAAACAAAAGTCATTAGAGCTGAAAACTTTAGAATGGTGGATATTGAGATTAATGCTTGATCCTCTATTTTTCTTAATATCGAGACTAACCTAATCTTGTACTTGTATCCTGAAAAGTGTATAAAATTCAACCAATCAGAGTCGCATATATGAAGCTGATAAATTTTAGCGCCATTTAAGATTATATACAGAAACGGGAGGGACTCCATAAATTAAAAAAAAAACCGGTTTTTGATTTTTCTCTATTATATCCAAGAAAGAACGGTTTAAGAAGAAAATCAAAAGTGTTACTCAGATGAAGTAATTAGGATTAATGATATCTCATTCTAAAGTTTTCAGCTTAGGTTGCGAAGATGAAGAAATAAGAAAGTTTTTGGCAAAAATTTAGTTTCTTTTGTTTAAAAATATTATTTTCTAATAAAAGAAATAATTAGAAATTTCCTTTAATCTTTTTCTGATTTAAAGGGAGTGTTTGCGAAAATAACCCCTTTCATATTTCGCGACCACTCCCTTTAATTTAAAAGTTTTATTTAAGATTGTTATGCATGAGAAAAATATTAAATTTTTAGATGTCAAGTTATAGATGTGAAAAAAAATTTAAAAATATCTTATAAAAAGAATGATTTTTTCATTCGTTTCACAATCATAATTTCATGAATTTTTACATTTAGTCTATATTAAATCTACATGTCCCAAAGAAAAACCAGGAATTTATAAACGACAATCGTCGTTGAATTTGAATAATTAATAAATGTGTCAGGGCGCCTTAAAAAAATGTCTTCAGTGTTATAGAGCTTTCCAAAAATGGGGTCTAATTTCTTAGTACTGATAAGATTTACTAAGTTTTAAGTTTTTAATTTTGAACGTACATAATTGGCAGACCACATTTTGAATTTTTCGTTGGAATACAACAATTATGGTGTTCATGAAAATCAAGGTTGTATGATAAGATTGGTTGCTCTCTATGTGCTCCAATGTACGGAAAATGTCGTCTCCTAAGATAGATAGATAAAAACCTAATATGACGTCACTCTCGCCTCTATAATCAGTAACGCCATATTATATTTTTATCTATTTATCTTAGGAGACGTCATTTTCCGTACATTGGAGCGCATCGAGAGTAATCAACCTTATTATACAACCTTGATAAAAATACTATATTGGACCGAAAATGAACCGTAATTGAAAAAATCCATTTTCAGGTAGAAACAACGTTGTAAAGCACCGTTGTGAACAGAACATGCTGCTTTATCAAAGAGAGGAAAACAACAACTTGCGTCTTTAATTAAATCCCACGTTTTTTGAGACACCCTGTACAGTGTACACTACCTATGTGTGAGTTCTCCATATTCCTTCCACCGAAATGTCATGGTTGCAATATTGTCAATAATTATGTACACTGCTGTACACAGTAGGTAGGCTAACTAAAAACAAACAAAAAAACTGTTAATTTAGTGTACATCAAATGAAAGGAATTTTTATTAAAAGCATACAAAAAAAAATAAAAAGAAAGAATTATCTACTATCTACTGTTCACTGAAAACCAAGATGTGCACGCTCTCACACTAAAATCGAGCAGTTATTTTACAATTACTTCTTTTAACCTTAAGATATAAATAAATATGTATAAAGCTACAAAAATTATAAGTGAGCTGGTGCAGAGGTAAAACAAAAAACCAAGGCGATACGACACTTTAAATTCAAGGTTGTCTAAATTTTCAGAATTGTCTATATCTCAGTTTTGAAAACCTAAATGCATTTTGAACCCCACACGTGTAGCCGAAGGGTGTAGGCCGTCTTTTTAATGTTTACAGGGACCACTGGTTTTACCTGTATAATTCCAGCTCCTGTTTTAATAAATAGAATCCATCTGTATTCAGCAGGAGGTAATTTCCAGCTCGGGACATAGCCTGATCATCATCAATATCATTATCATCATCATCAACATCATCATCATCATCATCATCATCATCGTCATCGTCATCGTCATCATCATCGTCATCATTATCGTCATCGTCATCGTCATCGTCATCGTCATCGTCATCGTCATCGTCATCGTCATCATCATCATCATCATCATCATCATCATCATCATCATCATCATCATCATCATCATCATCATCATCATCATCATCATCATCATCATCATCATCATCGTCATCGTCATCGTCATCGTCATCGTCATCGTCATCGTCATCGCCATCGTCATCGTCATCATCATCATCATCATCATCATCATCATCATCATCATCATCATCATCATCATCATCATCATCATCATCATCATCATCGCCGATCGAATACGTTATTTCGGGATATAGATACACATTAGTTTTATTATTATTAGTGTTATAATCAGAATATTCCAACCTAGGGTTTCCTGCTGCTCCGGGGAAAGTTTTGATTTAATTTCAAGAATATCTTCTTCACTCTCACTAAACCAAACCAAACCAAATTTTATTGATTTGAATTGAGTTGGTTTGATTTTGTTTGATTTGATTTTGTTTGATTTGATTTGGTTTATTGGATTTTATTTGGTTAGATTTTTTGTGTTCGATTTGATTTGGGTTGATTTTGTTTGTTTAATTTTGAATTCATTTAAAGTGATTTGGTTTTCTTTGGTTTTATTTAGTTTGATTTGGTTTTATCTGGTTTAATTTGGTTTGTTTTTATTTGGTTTTATTTGGTTTGATTTGGTTTTATTTTGATTTGGTTTGGTAAGATTTGGTTTGATTTGATTTGGTTTGATTTGGTTTGATTTGGTTTGATTTGTTTTGATTTGGGTTGGTTTGATTTGGTTTGATTTGGTTTAATTTAGTTTGGTTTTATTTGGTTTGATTTGGTTTGATTTGATTTAGTTTGATTTGGACGGTTTTATTTGGTTTGGTATGATTTGGTTTGGTTTCCTAAGTGGAAAGTAGAGAGAAAGACAGATTCCAAATATTGCAGTACACGAACTTAAATAAAAAACATTGAGAAAATAAAAACATTTAAGACAGTTAAGTTAGTACTCTATAAATTGGTCGAGCATAATTTTCATGAAATGTTCATCTTTTGCAAAATTTCATAACTTTAACAAAATGGTCATAATTTGAACATATATAGATGTCTCAGAAAAAGAGATATGAATTGGAGAGTCGCGTTCTGTTCAAATTGATTTGATAAAGAATATTTTGCGTAGTATTATGCTGCCTAGCTAAAGGGGTGTTTAGATCCCTTGAAACAAAAGTTATTAATATGTTTTCATGTTTTCACTTTTATATCTTTTTTAAGCCTAAAAGTGTTTATATTGTCAAATATTACTATCTTTAAATTTGCCCTGAATTTGGCAATCTGCAAAAAGCAGGCTAGACACAGTCGATATAGAACCAGTAAAGAGGAAGGATTCATGATGTAACTCTACAAAGAAGAAAAGAACTGTTCGACCCGCGTACCACCCTCGCGGTCAAAGCGAGTGCAAAGAACCCTGTATTCTTTATGTGACCAGATCTGATCAATATACTTCTTTAATTTGCAACCACATCGATTCATGAGAGAGAGAGAACATCATATTGCTGGTTAAACACAAAGAATCCTATATATATTTATATATTCTACCATCTCAAGCTACCCCCTCAATCAATTCTTCCCTCCCCGACTCAACTTCCAAATACTTCCTCTCCAATTCATATCTCTTTTTCTGAGACATAGATGTTCAAAATTTCAAAATGTTATTGATAATTCAATTCACTCACCTCAGATAATTTAAAAATCGAAGAAACCCAACTATACACAAATATTCTTTATCAAATCAATTTGAACAGAACACTACTCATAGTAAAATTTCAAAATGAGTCACTTTTGAAAGGGAAGAATCAGAAAATATGCTGTTGAGATATTCAGGAAACATTTAACAAATATAATAAAAATATTCATTCAATTTAAAATATGATAAAGAATAATTTTTTGCCTATCAGATCCAATTTTGCAGGTCTTTGGTAGTCATCATGATCCACTAACCATAACCAATACTAAAATGGGGTCTAATTTCTTAGTACTGATAAGATTTACTAAGTTTTAAGTTTTTAATTTTGAACGTACATAATTGGCAGACCACATTTTGAATTTTTAATAATAATGTTGGTTTCCTTTTAACAAAATCTCTTCCTTATCATTTTCTTCTTCTATTTTCTCTCTACGCTTCCTAATCAACATAAAAATAAAATAATGTCTGACGGTTTTTTTAGAAATATTATATAACAAGCTTGGGAACCCAACGCTCCTAGGGTTACTAAAACGTTTCTCCCGCCGTTTACCCGCACTGCACTTGAACGATTTTAGCGGGAAACTAAACTTTCGCTATTAAAGTCAATCCTCTCCACCTAGAATATCAAAACCAAGCTAATAACATTCCCCTGAGCCTCCCGAGTTCCCCAATCAGAATTTGAGGCAGATCAGTCCAGGGCTTCCTGAGTTATGATCGGACAAACAAGCGAACAGAAATTCCAACTTTATATCCTCTGATTGCAGTATATAAGCTTAAGTAAAGGAACTGATTACTTGCCTCCAACCTTCTATATCTAATATCTATACTGTATGTCCGATCATAACTCAGGAACCCCTTAACCGATTTGCCTAAATTTTTGATTGTGGAACTCTGTAGAACTACAGGAATGTTCTTAGTATGGTTTAAAAGTTGAATAGGTTGACTCTTAGAAAGAAAACTTTGTTTCCAAGCAAAGCTGGGTTTTCGAGTTAGTAGGGGTATAAACCTATATTATTTAAAACTATTAGACTTAGCACATTTAATAGTTTGAAATATCAAAGGTCCACAACATTCATTACAAATATAAAGGATTTAAAAAGCTGAGATAAAAGTTTTAGGATAAAAAAAAATTTTTGTTGTTCAGTTCCCTGATCATGAAGGGAACTGACAAACAATAATTTCCTAATTCTTTGATACTTTGTATTTAAAACCTTGACCTTTTGGTCTTGTATCATGTTGTAAAGACATAGAGAAGAAATAATAAGGGTTTGTGGCGCGTGTCCATACAAAAAAAAACTTTTTACAACTTTTGTTTAACCCTTTAGATCTATAAAGGTTATAAAAAGACAATTTAAAAAAAAAATTTATGACATGAATTTTTTTCTCACCTCACTGTACTTTCACTGTACTCTTCTGAAAAAAAATATTTTAAAAAATTGAATTATTCCAGTCCAGTCCAGTGGCCGAATTTAAAGAATTTGAGCAATGGTTTAAATTTAAGCCGCGGCTTAAACATGATTGTTTCCACTTAAAATTGTATCAAATGTTTCAAGATTTAAACCGGCACTTAATTTAAACCGTGTTTTGGCAGATTTAAACCGCGGCTCAAATTCTTTAAATTCCATCTCAGGAATAATGTTTTTCATGTGAAAATTATTTTATTAAATTGAAAGGGTGACAAAATACGTGGAAAAATAACTAATTCGGAATGAATCCACAATACTCTGTAGAAAACACATACAAAAGCAAATTTTATAAAAGCTTGAGATTTAACTCTGATCTCTTAAGAGCATTAAGACATTAAGAGCTGGAATTATTCAAAGAGGATTAAGCAGTACAGAGCAATAGTTTTGATCAAAGTAAATTAATATGTATTTACAAGGTATTTGAGAATGTGATTACACAGGTCAGAACTTATGTGTGAAATAACGTTAATCTTGAACACTTGATCCCGATATCCAATGCATGGGCACTTATGACAGGTCCCTCATTTAAAGTTATCCCAGGGAAATCAAAGAGGAATTAATTTGATCTATAGATTTGTATAAGATGGAGATCAATGCTTGATCACCAGAGCAAACAAATTTGTAAGAATGAATAATTCAAAATTTGAAAAAATACTTGATTTTCGGTGTTTATTTCTTTTCAAAATATAGTATTTTTGTATTCTAGTTAACAAGCGAACTCTGGAGAACTTAATCCTCTCTGTCAGTCTTCCGTGATTTTTTTAATGCAACGGGGACATTTGTTTAAACTTTCAAGAAGGCCTGTCAGCAACTTTCTCTGCTTTTACATTTATTTTTTGGATCTTTGTCTCTGATTTTGTAACCAGATTTATTTTATGGATCTTTGTCTCTGATTCTGTAACCAGATTTATTTTAGAGATCTTTGTCTCTGATTTTATAACCAGATTTATTTTAGAGATTTGGCGTTTACCTCAGAAGAAAAATCAATTCATATATTTCTCACAAAAATACCGGTGTTATTTATTTTTAACTTCTAATTATGAATTATAACACTTTGTAAATAACTTTGTGTAATTTCATATTAACAAAGCTTCACTATGCGTATACTGGGTACAATAGTCAGGCTGGTACATGTAAACACCTCACCAGGCAAGCCTAGTACTGGTTCGGATTATGCAACGTTTCAACTTAATTTGTTTTTGTAGTCAGTAAATAGATAAGTGTATACTTTAGAAAAGGTTTAAAGGGAATACTTACGAGAAATTAAAATCAACATAAACCAAACATTGCAGAATATAAACACCTAATTTAACTTTTAATTTGACACTTTTTTAAGTAGTATTTAAGTTTAATATTTATATATTACCCATTAACGGAGCCGTGGGTAGGATAGATGAATCTTCTTCAGTTTTCTTTTCAATTTCTTTTTTCATTCTTTTCATTAACTTAACCTTCTCATTCTTCTCTTTCACAGCCTCTTCTTCCCGGAATTATCATGTTAACAATCTTCAATACAAATTAAATCTTTAAAAAAATATGCTGGTTTTTCCTGCTTAAAAAAACTAAAATATTTGTAACAGTGATAAAAAATGAAAAACATGAGTGAAAGGGATTGGTGTTGGAATTTCAAGTGAACCTCCATTTCAAAGAGTATGTCCGATTCACAAGTGTGCCCTTTAAAGATATCAACATCTTATAGTTTGATAAATTAATAGAAATGACATGCTCATCAGGTAGCCGGTCGTTTTATTACTAACATCAAGTAACGAATAATTTCTGTTCGTTCATGAAATTGCCCTTTTTTAACGATCTCAATTTTTTTAACGATATATTTACCAAATATTCGTTAAATACCTTCATGTCTGTTAAGTTAGCAAACGAAAATTGTACTTTTATATTATAAATTGTTCTGGGGTTTTAATTTCTGAAAATACAGAAGTCAACGTTAAGAACCTTGAATAAGATAACGATTCTTCTTAAATACCTTTCATGTTATCTACCCCATTAAATTAATGCTTGCCTTTTTTTAAAAAAAAACATACGATGGTTCTTTCAAATATTTTTTCCGACATTTTTCATGAACAGTACATTTCGTACGTTAACTGAACTTTCCGTTAGTTTTCGTTTACGGAACTAGGAAAGGTTCCGTAAAGCCTTATATCCGAAAATTGGAAATTTACTCACAGTACAAACCTCCCTGATGCGTAGATTTCCAAGAATAAAAAATGTTATGAAGGTTTTTATTAACATTTAAATTTTTGTCATGTTTAATATGATAATAGAGAAAAAAGTGTATTCCTGTTTCATTAAATTTATAATTAATGAGAAAAAAAGTGTGTTCCTGTTTCATGAAATTTATATAATAAATGAGAAAAAGTGTGTTCCTGTTTCATGAAATTTATATAATAAATGAGAAAAAAGTGTGTTCCTGTTTCATGAAATTTATATAATAAATGAGAAAAAAGTGAGTTCCAATTTCATGAAATTTATAATAAAATATTCTCTCTACCTCAATGATTAAAAANTTTCAAATGATTAAAAGGAATTTTTTGGTTGAAAATAATTTTGAAAAAAGTACATTCTAGAATATTTTTTACATGATTCGTTGAAATAAAATAAGAACTAAATTTAAAATGGGTTGGTGGCACGTGTACTGGTTTTAATAAAAGTATATATGCACACTAACAAATTTAGAATTATCCAAAATTTTAAAATTTGATAAATGCTCTCTTTTTTTTTAAACAGGGATAATTTACTACGCTACAACTCTAATTTTCTAATGATATATCTTTGCAACCTGATGTCATAAATCTTTGATATTTCAAACCTTTGAATTCTCCTGGATCATAAATGTTAAAGTTTTTAATATCAAAGGTTTACATAATCAGGCTGCAAAGATAAACAAAATGGAAAAATATGGTTTATATTAAGTTTTGTATTTCTATACCTTGAGTGTTCTTTATCATATTTTTGTTTGGTCTCCTCTGGTCCTAGTCGAGATAACTGGCGTACTGGTAAACTACCATCAGATAGTTAGTTAGTTAGTTAAATAGTTAAATAGTTATATAGTTAGATAGTTAGACAACAATAAAAAACTAAATTATGCATTTTAAAGGGACTGTAAGCATGCTTTGAAGTGACCCTCCTTGCAAAGATATAAATACCCGATTTACAACGGTACCCTTGAAACCTTTATAGTTGTTTTTTTGACAGGAAAAGTGTTCATTTCTGTGAATTTCTCCACTATTTGTTATGAGCAAGAAAAGCACAAGTCACAAGAAACCACAAATGAAATTAAACCGTTTAAATAAATAAAAATAATGCATATCTAATTCATACTTGATCAGACAAAGCTTTTAAGGGTACCGTTGTGAATACAGCATCGCAATCTTTGCATGGAGTGTTGCATGAACTAATGCTCACATCACATTCTATTTAACTGCAACGTCCACAACCCCTTTTTGAAGGCGAAGAATATACAGAAAAATATAATTTTTTTGAACAAAAGGTTACAGGATTTTAGGATAACATTTTTTCCAAAAAAAATTTAGCCAAATTAGAGATGATCACTTACATAAATGTAAAAACATTGTCCCCTCCCTCATAGAGAATTTTGAGATTGTCAAAAGGAACTGAGTTTTCGCCTCAAACTCAAAATTGTTAATCCCTATTTAAAATATCAAACATTTACACCATCAGGTTTTAAAGATTTATGGTTTGAAAAATTTGATTTTGTTGCTAAAACTCAGTTCCTTTACAATTTTTCGAGCCATAATTCGAACCAAATATTTTTACTGATTTTAAGATAAAATGCTGTCTTAAACTGTTTCGGCCATATAAATATGTAAAATGAAAGATTATCTAAAATGTGTCTAAATAGTGCTAATCGTGAAATCATATTTGTTCTTAGTTTAATATTTAAATATGGAAGGAATTAGCATTAAATATTTATCATGCAGTACTATTTCATAATATTTAAGAAACATTTGCCTGAATTATGGTCGGCTTCAACGAATATTGAATAGTCAGAAAAAGTTGAACTATGTGTAACTAGTTCAACTATTTCTTGATATTCATTGATTCTGATCTTAAAAAGAATATATATTTTTAACTCTATTATATCTTCCTTGTTGACTCTTTTTGAAGCATTATCTCTGAAATCTGTTGAATTTGAAAATGTTAAGTGTGTTAATCAAATTGACAAATTTTCCCATTATACATAAGTTAATTTAGAAACATGTTTGTACATGTCGCTCCCGGGGTACCCATGGTTTCCTTAAAAAAATGTAGCCAATTTGGTTCAGCCGTTTGGCCAGCTATATTAAACAAAAATTTTGCAGATTTTATGAAAAAAATTCATAAATCAAATTTTATTAGAGCAAATATTTGAAAATTCGATCATTCATGAACATTCACTGGGGTCCCTCGAGGTCCCACAAAAAAATTGGACCCGATCAGTTCGGTAGTTTTGACGTTTATTGGATACAAACAGACAGAAAAGCATGGGCGCAAAGCGCCCATAAAGCCTAGTATAAATATAGATGGTACATCAAACTATGTATTGGATCATATAAATATGTATTTGTTGTATAAAATGAAGGCCGGCATGCTTGACACTATAAACAGTAAATAAATCAGATTATATTTTCAGAGAACATTAGTTCCAAAACTAACACTTGATTGAAAGACTGGGGTTTTAAAATCCCGGCCCATATTGGGAGTAAAGTCGATAGTAAAAACTATTACCAACATTTTATTAAGCATCACAAGGACAACAATTCCGAATTTTGAACTATTTTCTTGAATCAAAATTATAAAAGGAGTTCTTTATATATCAAAACCCTTGACCGTTTTCTAGACAATGTCAAGTTTTCCATTTTCGAATTTGAATTTGAATAATTGTCGCATTTTCGAGACAAAACCCACTTTCCCGTTTATGAGTATAATCCGCAATTCAAAATAAAACTCGCTTAGAAATTACCTTGTTATTCTCTTATGTGTTAATAAAATCAAATTTAGAAGAGCTACGAAGTTACAAAGTTGAACTAGTAATGTTAGACAAATTTCACCTTCGATCCTTCTGTTTGCCGTGGTATATTGTTTACGCAGAGAATTTGCAATTTACATTTACGATTTCTTTAGGCACAAAATACACACAGGTCTCATTCTCCTCATGCTAGTCTTATAATGACAACAGAAGTTGTATATTAGTATTATATATATAAGTTGTATAGATATATTTAATAGATCGAGTTGTTTTATTTTTTATATTTTGAATTCACAGCTGATATTTCTATTTATCAATCTCAGTGCTTAAACTACGGCCTGCAAGTGCAAGCCCAAACTAAAGTTTTATAAATCCGTCTGCTATAGTTGCCTATACTATACATTCAAGCACTATATAGTCGTTGTGAACTTGATGACGTCATTAAACCGGTTTTATAAATCCCATCCCTCCCCCCTTTGCCTGAGGGCGTAACATATGCGTAATGCATCCCTCCCCTTCTCTTACTATAAGATTACCCCCCTCTCCACTCCCCAAGACAAAAATGAATACTTGTGTGTCAGTGTTTCAAGTCTGCAAATTTTCAAAACTTTGAATATGAATATGAATATGACTCATCTCAAAAGTTCATTTTAGAATGAATGGTTGTCTCATCTCCAGGGGAGTTCCAGGGGGGGCAGGGCAAAGGAATAAATTTTAGACTCTATAAGGTTAGTAACACCCAAAAATGTAGTCTTTTTGGTGTATTTTTATGGTGTTAATTGACTTTTTGAACAAAACAATTCCAGGGGGGGGGGGCAAAAAATTTTTTCGTGCTTCGCACAAAATGTTGCCCCCCCTAAAATCCTGTGTACGCGCCTGCTCATCTCTCTAAAAAGTATTAGTTGCAACAAGAGAAAAGGGGTGTTACGCTAGCCATGCTGCGTGTAGAAAGTCTGCTTGTCACCCCTGTGTATTTCTGAGTTCCCCCTGAAGATCTGTACGGAATGTATTGTGAAAGAACTAGTTTAGGAACTGTTTACAGTCCGACTGCGCAGACGCAAGATTTCTTTTTTTTTGCCTTTGTAGATTTTCAAAGTATCTTTCAATGAAAATATCCCGGCGGGATTAAATGAAAATTGTTGCATACCAAAAAAAGCAGCTTTTTATAAAGGAATGTATATTCTTACACGCTCCAAGTATTAAAGAATGGAAATTATTACACTAGTTGAAGAATATTCATTCTTACACGCTCCTTATATCGATCTTTTCAACATAGATCAATATTGATATTAACTTAATTATTTTGTAAGAACAACATGCACACTCACCTTTTTCTTTTAATTATATTAGTTCATGTAAACTTAACTTTTTATACTTTAAAACAACGTGCTCAATTACATTTTTTATATTAAAACATGCAAACTTACCTTTTCATGCTCACTTACACAGGCCTGTACAGTTTTATAAGTATTGATGTACCCTTAATTAAGAAATATCCATTCAAATCTTGACCTATAGCTTAGTCCTGACAGAAGAGTTAAGGGGGAACCCTCCTTACCCCTGTGTTTAATTAACAAATCTCATTAAGAATGATTTAGAGGACGTTCAAATTTTCTGACCTTTCCTAAAAATATTATGGACAATGCTTCATCCTTTATAAGTAAAGATATGTTGCAAAGATATAGGGAAGAAATAATAAGGGTTTGTTCTTTCAAAAATCGGTGTATTTGAAAAAAACGTGAATTTTGTTTCAGCTAACTGTATTTTCACTGTACTCTTCTAAAAAAGATTATTTTATTATATTACATTATCTATTACATTATATCTGTTTTAACTTTCACTGCTTTTTTAACCAAATTTATTTTAACGATCTTGGTGTTTATAGCTTCAAAAATCAATCTTTTTATATATTTCTTGCAATAATTCGACCCTACTTAACTTTTTATTATGAATTATATTAATTTGTAACAAAAAATAAACCTGATGTGTAATCTATATCATATATAAATTTAGCTTGTCTGTCTGTTTGTTGGTTTGTATCCAATAAACGTCAAAACGGCTTAACAGATCAAACCCAAACTTTTTGTGAAATCTCGCGAGACCCCAGGGAAGGTTTATGGGTGATCAAATTTTCTTTTTTATAACTCTGCGAAATTTTTTGTTTTTGTTTTATTTACAAGGAGAATTTTTGTTAACGTACGGAGAACCCCCCATGTTAACAAAGGAAATAAAAGATGGGCGCGAAGCGCCCTTAAAGCCTAGTATGTATGTACAGTAAAACCCTTAATAACGAATACATCGGAAGAATTTATCAAATGTCGTCTTAACAATTTTTAAATGAGTTTTATACTATATTTCGTAAATTTCAGTAAATGCGAAAATAAATAAATAGTCATGAATATGCGGGAACAGTTTTAAAGGGTTCCATATAATCATTTAATTAAAAAACTGAATATCTGCAACATTTCATTACCAGAAAGTGAAGAATACGACATTTGATGAATTCTTTCGATGTATTCTTTATTAAGGGTTTCACTGTATATAAATTTGTTTTCTCTTTGTCTGAATGTTTATTTGTATCCAATAAACGTCTTAACTAATCGGGCCCAAATTTTGTGTGGGACATGACATGACCCTAGAGAAGCAAATTTATCCTGCAGTCACATATTAGAATTTCAAAACCTTTTTGTTCTTCTCAATATCTCTTCAATAAGATGAGGTTTGATTGAAAACACATAAGTCTGGAGCAATAGACTTGTTGACGGCTAGAAAACAAGATTCTCAAGATGAAATGATAATAGGCCCGCTGGAAACAGTCGTTGAAGGATGTATATTTCCCAATTGCAACAGCAGGCACACAACAGAAAATCCCGGCAAAAATATAATTGCCCAAATTGTACACAAGGCTTATATAATTTATTCCTTTTTAAACCAAAAAAAAACGTTAAAAAAAACTCTAAAATCCGCAAAATTTAGTAATTTCTTGGACATTTTTCTCATAAAGTGCGAGGAAAATTATGAGTATTAATATTCCATAAGATGTTCAAATTACAGGAAAATAACACGGGATATTAATTTTCTCAAAACGGAATAAAAGCTCTTCCCTTTTGTATATTGTATACATATATACATTTATTATTAGCTTTAGTTGGGCAAACGGCTGGACCGAATGGGCTGACATTTTTCAGAGAACCCATAGGTGATCGGGAAGTATCATAGGCTAAACAATTTTCAACATTTTTCAAAATTCAATTTTCATGGACACTTCAGCTAACGTGAAACCTTTATAATTCAGGTAGATAGAATATTACGGAATCTATATTCCGGAGAAACTTAAAGCGCAGTTTCAAGTGACCCTCTTTGTAAGAGCTCTGTCTTTAGATATCAGTATTTTTGTTCCTTTAAACTGTTTATTTTTATTTGTGGGTTTTCTGTTTAATTGACTTGTGAAATTACGTTTACAGTCCCTTTAATACGAAATTATAAGAAGACATTTGCAAGAAAAGAAATGCAATATCTTCACTGGCATGTTCCTAAAGTAAAAGTAAGATAAGCTTTGTATTCTTAATCCTTGTTTCTAGGAAAACAGAATACGCTTAAAAACTCGATGCCTAACACTACATGTGCAAATTAAAAATCATTCAAATTATAATTTTATTTCACTAAAAAATTACAGAACAAAGGGCACAGTTTGACATGAAGTAAGGCAATACTTGATTAATGCAGTTCTGGACAAATCTGATTTGCATAGATACAAAATGAGCAGATGTCAAATGGTTCTTGCCAATTTTCTCGAGAAGCTTTGCTCAATACGCACATACGGTACAATTTGTGACAATATCGGAAGTACAATTCAGGAAGACAGTACAATTACATCATAGTGATTTTTGTGATTAAAATCCACAGCCAAAACTCTTGAACAATATGTTATAAATGATTTGAATTTTCATTAGGCCTTTAAGCTCTTCTTTTGCAGAAAATGTAACAAATTAAAATTGTAAATGAAAAGTTCAACTAAACTTTATGATTTATATTTGACTAGACCCAGTTTCGCTAGCTCCTGACCAATACTTCGGTCCCCTAAAATATATTAAACTTATACAGGGTGGTCCATTGGTCCATATAAGAGTCAATATATTAAACTTATACAGGGTGGTCCATATAAGAGTCTGAGAAGAAATCATCATCTTTGGAGTACTATTGGAGACCTCCTTTCATTGGAGTCACACTATCATTGGAAACCCCCAATGGACATCTTGTTGGCAAACCCCAGATTCTCGTTGGAGACCCCCATATTTCCATTGGAGACCCCCATATTTTCGTTAGCGACCCCCAAATATGGGGACCATGGAGGTTCAAACGAGATGTCCATGGGGGTCTGCAATGAAAGTGGGTTTCAAATAGTACTCCAATGATAATGATTTCTTTCCAGACTCCCATAAAACGGTAAGTTATGTTCAGGAGACTCGTTTGAAATTGAGAACATTTCCGATAACTACAGTGAATCCCAGATATATGAATCCAAAGCAAGAGTTTTTTTATATTGGCGTATTACATATTTAAGATGAAATGCCGCGGAAATATGAGTTTAATATAGCCATGAAGTATAAATGCAATTGATATATTAAAATTAAACTCATTTCTCCGCGGCATTTGATCTTAAATGTGTAATACGACATTATATAAACACTTGTTATGTATTAATATATCTGGGATTCACTGTAGGTAAATGTTCCGATTCCAAGAGCATTCAGGCTTCTCAGACTAAAATCACAAGGTTTACAAGGTTAATTTTTAAAATTCCGATCTTTTATGTGTCTCTGGACTGATATTGTCGGGACCATGGAAAGATAAATAGTGATATTTGTTTAACAATGACAATTTTTTTCTGTTTAGTTATGTTCAACTTTTCTTGTATAAAAAAGGATAATTTTTAATTGACCGGTCCTCTATCCTCCGTTCCTCTGTCCTGTCCTTTGTCCTGTCCTCTGTCCTGTCCTCTGTCCTGTCCTCTGTCCTGTCCTTTGTTCAGTCGGATGTCCTGTCCTGTCCTGTCCTATCCTGTCCTGTAAATTTTGCAAAAATATAAAATTACCCAAACTGGATTGCTGGAAAAGTTCTAGGGTTGTAATTTCTTGTCCACTTAAATCTGAATCGTCCAGGGACTAAAATATAAACAAATAATTAGAAAACAAAAACAACTTTTTTAAAACTTAAACAAAATGTTTATTTTTGAATAATCTAAATTGTTGACAACTAGTACCCAGTAATGAAAAGAATACTTCAAATTAAAGATGATTAATAAGAATATTAATGAATGTAAAAACAAGTTAGAAAGAAAAAAACCCTTAAGACATATTCTTTTCTTTGTTGTTAAAAGATAAAAATTCTTAAATTATCATAACATTTTATCCCCAAATTCATTTTAGATAATTAGAATTAAAACAATATTGATTGTTAAAGCTATATTAAATATTGAAATTTAATTTTTAAGAAACTACTAAATAATACTTAAATGAAAGTAATGCTTAAAACCAATGGACACTGGACCGCAGGTGAAAACGACCTTTAAGTTTGGTTTTCTCAAAAAATAATTTTAGCGGTAGAACTTAAAAAAAAATAACTAAATAGATGCCGAGATCAGATGTTTTTAAAAACTAAAATAAAAAAGATCTTTTAGAGAAAAGATTAAATAATGTCAGACCAACTTGTTTTTTTTTCTAAAATTTTGATTTTTTTACGAAACTTAATCGAATTTAAATATGAAATTATTTTTCTTAGCCTCATACTTTCAGAAAGCTATAAAAATATTGAATTTAAAAAAAATATTTTGGCTAAAATTCTCTATTTCTTTTCCCGGCTAAATGTGCGTTTTTCTTAAACTCTAAGTTTTGCAAGAAAAGGATTTACAGGCAGTTGTATGTTTAATTTCATAACAAAGTATACCTTTGATATTACAGATTTAGTGGAAAAATCTTCATTTTTTCATATTTTATCGTTTCAGGTTGTAAAAAGTTATTTAACAAGTCAAAAAGTTTTTAATTCGAGGTTGCGTGATTTATTAAAATCATAGTTGTTTAAAATGTCCGAAAACTTTGCTACAATTACAAAGGTACTCGGTAGATTATGGTCATCATTGATATCTTGTTGTCTTTCAAATATAGACAAAACTAGCAGAGTTTTCCTTTCAAATATAGACAAATCTAGCCGTGTTTTCCCTTTCAAATATAGTCAAATCTAGCCGAGTTTTCCTTTCAAATATATACAAATCTAGCCTAGTTTTCCTTTCAAATATAGACAAATCTAGCCGTGTTTTCCCTTTCAAATATAGACAAAACTAGCCGTGTTCTCCTTTCAAAATTAGACAAATCTAGCCGAGTTTTCCTTTCAAAAATAGACAAATAATATTTAATCTCCACAACAAACTAAAATTTCAATCTCCACCTTAACTATATTCAATCTCCACTTAACCTACATTTAATCCACACAATTAATATACGACTTTTTTAGTCTCGACTAAAACTATAACTGATCAGAACTAAAATTATATTCAATTCTACTTTATTCCGTCCCTTCTAGAATCGTCTTAAATCTCCAGTAACATTATAGATAATCTCTACTAAAACTACATTTAATCTCCACTAAAATTCAATCTCTATTAACCTTATATTCAACCTCCACTAAAAACTCTATTTAATTTCTTTTAACCCTATATTTAATCTCCACTAAAATTCTATTCAATCCCTATTAACCTTATAATCAATATCCACTAAAAAAAATTCAATCTCTATTAACCTTATATTCAACCTCCACTAAAAACTCTATTTAATCTCCACAAGACAAAACTAGCCGTGTTTTCCTTTCAAACATAGACAAATCTAGCCGTGTTTTCCTTTCAAACATAGACAAATCTAGCCGAGTTTTCCTTTCAAAAATAGACAAAACTAGCCGAGTTTTCCTTTCAAACATAGACAAATCTAGCCGAGTTTTCCTTTCAAAAATAGACAAAACTAGCCGAGTTTTCCTTTCCAAATATAGTCAAATCTAGCCGAGTTTTCCTTTCAAATATAGACAAAACTAATCGAGTTTTCCTTTCAAATATAGACAAAACTAGCCTAGTTTTCCTTTCAAATATAGACAAATCTAGCCAAGTTTTTCTTTCAAATATAGACAAAACTAGCCGAGTTTTCCTTTCAAATATAGACAAATCTAGCCGAGTTTTCCTTTTAAAAAAGGATGCTCTTAAACTTTAAAAGAAATGAATTATTTTTGTTTAGTTTTGATCAAATATTATTTGTACAATTAAGACAAGTAATTTTTTTACAACAAAAAAGAAAAGAAAAATAACATTTTTTCCTTTCAACATAATAAAAGGTTGGACCTGAAACTTAAATTGGCCATTGACATGCAACAGGTAAAATTTAACAAGTTGACCTTTTATTGTACTATCGTAGCATGCTGATCAGAGTGTTCAAACATAAATTTCGACCTTAAAAATGGATTTAGAAACCCAAACTTCATAAAATTTGACAGAAAAATTTAACGGGTTGACCCTCTTTTGCATTAGCTGGCTAGCATGCTGATCAGAGTGTTTTAATATTACAAAAATCATTTAGAATGACACATATTATGAAGTAGCTGGCTGGTGATGTGCTGGTCAAGGTAACATTTTTTTAATCAGAGAAATGAATTTCCTGACCCGAAGAACACCTTTTTTATTAATAATTCAATATATTTTACTTGCAATAGGTTGTTTCCAAATATCAGGCAATTGGGCCCGCTGTGCAATGTTTCCAAATATCAGGCAATCGGACCCGCTGTGCAAAGTTTCCAAATATCAGGCAATCGGGCCCGCTGTGCAATGTTTCCAAGCGGAATCNCGGCAAATTTCAAAACTTTGAATATGAATATGAATGCGACTCATCTCAAAAGTTCATTATAGAATGAATGGTCGCCTCATCTCTCTAATAAGTATATAATGTAGTTGAAGAAAAGGGGAGGGGTGCAAGTAGTCCCCCCCCCCTCTAAGAAGAGGAAAATTTAAATTTAAATTACTTAACCTCGATGAAATAATCTTGATGTATTCTTTCATCTCGTTAAAGAATTTCCATTATAACATTTTTTTCCTCATAAAAATATCGTATTATATTACCAAAAGATCAATTACTTTTTTAAACAAATATTATGATATAAATGCTTATTAGTTTTCATTATTAAAGAATAAAAAAATAAAATACAAAAAGTATTGGTTTTCACCATAAAAAAAAACGAAAAATCATGTGTTTGAAAATTTGATTATAACTTTTCAGTTTATTTATTTATTTTTTCATTAATTGAACTTGTTAAACAAATGAAATGTTACCATTTATAAACTATATCTGTATTTTACTTTTTGTCAGTCTATCCAATAGACCTTAAAACGGCTGAACCGATCAGGCCCAAATTTGTTATGGCAAGTCACATGATCCTGCAGGGAAGGTATAACAATTGTTAAATTTTAAATATTGAAATTTAATACACAGAAAATAATACGTATACATTTCTACGTTCTACATAAGATGATAAAAGGCAAATAGATTCTAGTACAATAGATGGCAACGTAGAATATTACACTCTCAGTACAACGTTGTATTCTGACGTCATAAGTGTCAACGTGTTTTTGTGTCCGACAAAATTATCTTACAGCAAAATAAGTGCAATTTTATGTGTTCTTTATTTTCTGTTTTTACACTTTTATAGTATTGATTTTCAGAATAGGTGGGGGATAATGTTTGATGCCAAGTGGGGAAACATGCAATATGGACATAACCAATGTTTTTTGGATAGTCTTTGTTTTTTAAAAAAATTTATTTATTTTCACAATTCAGCGAAATAAAATTAGTAAAAATTTACATGACGTTTAAGAAAAAGGATCTTTATAAAGGTTTTAAAAAATTCTACATTATATTCATTTCTGCAACTGCCTTGTGACATTATATTTTAACCTCCAACAAACTGAATTAAGTAAAAATCCTGGCAAAAATATTATTTCCCAAATTGTACACAAGGCTTATATAATTTTATTCCTTTTTAAACCAAAAAAAAAAACGCGAAAAAAACCCTATAATCCGCAAAATTTAGTAATTTCTTGGACATTATTTCTCATAATAAATATAAAAATAAATAAATTTTTCTCATAATATCCCAGGACAATTATGAGTATTAATATCCCATAAGATTTTCAAATTACAGGAAAATGACACGGGATAATAATTCTCTCATGTATATTGTATACGTATATATATTTATTATTAGCTTTAGTTGGGAAAACTTCTGGACCGAATGGGCTGACATTTTTTAGAGAACCCATAGGTGCCCAGGGAGTATCATAGGCTCAAATAGGTTGTCAAGTACTTGACAACCTATTTGCATAGGCTAAAAAATGTTCAACATTTTTCAAAATTCATTTTTCTTTTAAGTTTCATGGACACTTCAGCTAGTGTAACCTTTATCATTCAGGTAAATAGAATATTACGGAATGTCTATTCCGGAGAATCTTTAAGCGCAATATAAGCGCAATTTCAAGTGATTAGTCTGATGTACATTTAGTGCTTATACAATAACCTATTTTGAATATTTCATATAAAAATGGAGTAACGTCTGCAAAGCCTGTATAATCATATGGTAGGGCTAACCGCGTCAGTTGTATCTCCCTTCTATTCGCTACTCCCTGGTAGAAGCTAGCCGTCTGCTTAAGTAAAAATTAGATTTCAGTGTTTTTGTTCCTTTAAACTGTTTATTTTCATTTGTGGGTTTTCTGTTTAATTGACTTGTGAAATTACATTTACAGTCCCTTTAATACGAAATTATAAGAAGACATTTTCAAGAAAAGAAATGCAATATCTTTACTGGCATGTTCCTAAAGTAAAAGTAAGATAAGCTTTGTATTCTTAATCCTTGTTTCTAGGAAAACAGAATACGCTTAAAAACTCGATGCCTAACACTACATGTGCAAATTAAAAATCATTCAAATTATAATTTTATTTCACTAAAAAATTACAGAACAAAGGGCACAGTTTGACATGAAGTAAGGCAATACTTGATTAATGCAGTTCTGGACAAATCTGATTTGCATAGATACAAAATGAGCAGATGTCAAATGGTTCTTGCCAATTTTCTCGAGAAGCTTTGCTCAATACGCACAT